GTGTCCTCAAAGGATGTGGAGCAACGTTGATCTGGTCCACAAAATGGTTACTCAGATCAAACATTAATCTAGCAATCCATGATGACAACCTCTTCAACATGGGAACATTTTAGAAACAACATGAAAAATCAAACACTTTACTTTGTTTATCAATGGGTGTCCTCAATGGAAGTTGATCAGCGTTGATGATAGTCCCCAGACTGGTGCACAGAATCAAACAATGATACAACAAACCGTGACGACTAGCCTACCTTACAACAATTTCAACACATGCTTTTACAGTTTTTTTCTTGTTCACTTTACTTGGAAACTGTCCTTTATGTCCTCATTATTTCACAAAACAATATCCATCCAAGAGAGAACTTCTCTCCAGTCTCTGTCCTTGGTGCACTTCACAAGCTTCAGTGTCTTCAGCCGAGTACACAGGTCACATCGCTGTACTCCTGCCATCTGGTCGTTGACTCCCCAACCTTGCTTTGGCCCCGTTGTCTTCCGTGGTGTCTGTCCACGCACTGTTGTCGTCTCCGGCGGCCTCGTCTTCTGTGGTGCACCCTGCACCGGCAGATTCCCAGCCTTTGATGCTCCCTGCATCAACGGGTATCCTGTCTTCTGTGGTACTCCCTGTACCTTTGGCCTCGTCTTCTTTGATGCGTCCTGCATCGCCGGATCTGCAGTCTGTTGGCTTTATACCGTTCTTGTCCCTGTCACGTGCACCTGCGGTCTGAAAGTCAATGTCGTTGCTTGCTCCAGCGGGGCTGCTTTCGCCGGGGGATAGTGCCGCTCCGGCTCGGTTGCCGTCATCTGAACATGAAGGTCAGTGTCTTGTGGTCGATTGTCCGTGGTCTGAGTTGCTGTCCAGGCAGTACGGCGGTCGATGAGTTCAGCGTACTCCGGCTGATCGGCATGCACCAGCGGAGCCGTCCACATCGGTGGATCAGTGTGCATCGATGGAGATGTCAGCAACGATGGAGCTATCGATGTGCAGCTTAAGTCCTCCGCAGCAGTTGGATCAGGACAGGAAAAGTCGATGCATCCATGAACCTCGATCCGATGGACAGCCGCCATGCTCGCCAGTATCACGGGACGGGGCTCCACGTCAACAGCAGGGCTATCATCGCTCGCAGCGGCCTCCCTACTCGTGGTCTCCCGATTCACGCGACAACCCGGCCTAACATCAACTTCTGCCCCCGGACCGCTGAACAGGCTTGCTCGTCGTTCATCTTCATCCTAATCCGCACTGGTAGAATCATCGGAGCTGTACATCGCTTCCAATTCAGCGATCATTTTTTTGATCCTCTGCAGCACACCTACTGCTGCTCCAGTGGCCTGTGGATTACTTCTGTCCAAGGAATGGGCTGATCCACAAATCTGCCGCTCCAAGGAGTCTCCCACCTTCCGAACGTCAATGATGACATCGTTGATGGCGTCCACGATCTCATCTGCGGCTGTGCTTTCCGTCATTTCCAGTCGGTCCAAAATCCCGTCAATATCGCCCACCGCTGCCACCATTTGTAGCAGGATCCTACTGGGCTCTTGTCCGCCAAATCCGGCCAAACGCAAGAAAAGGGGACACACAGAAAGGATTTCTAACTCTGAAGGAAGATCTCATTTATTTCGCCAAGCGGAGTCTGCGGACAACTTGCCGCACCGCTACCAGAACTGCAACTGATCAATTCCCAGCATAGACATTCACACAGTCTGAACAAATGTATACAATTGTAGCAACTTTACCCAACCCTGGAATCAAGCCCAGCCCTACCCGCGAAAGTGAACAAAAGAACCCCACTTAGCAAACCTATTTGTAGAGCCTATTTCCGGAGCGCGCTGCCAGCCAGACCCAAAACCAGGTCAAATGCGCGCCGCCGGAGCCTCTCCGCCGGAGCACTAGTGCTAGAAAGCAACGACAACAACAGTGTGCATAGACTGTCCGTTACAATACTAACAATAAAAATTGAGAATGTTTACACGAATAATTATAAAAGAAAAGAAAAGGAAATTAAAAGAAAGGAGCAGGAAAAATTAAACTAGGCTATTAAATGGAACACAATGAAAACTGAAATAGTAAATGTACATATAGTCAAATATATCTTTAGTAACCTCAGACCTAATTGAGGTCGGGGTTACATACATTAGCGTTTGTTTTTGTATGTGGTGCCTGGGGTAAACCAAGAATCGATTAGTCATGTAACCAACTAAGGCCAAAAAAAAGTCTCCGGTTTCTGGTATGGAGCTTGCCCAAAAAGTGGTGCGGCGACGCGGCTTTTTTTTTTACCTGTCTTTTTTGCTTCAAATGTCGGCTGATGACTGCAAATGGTGCCTGACTAAACTTAGTGCAAATATATGGGAGTGCGGAGAGGCCACATAAAGCTTATTCTCGACCATAACCCCATCTAAAAACACGTTTAAATTGTGCAGCAGCAGGATTCCAGTCAAACCAGTGAGTTTGGCGGTTTTGAGACATCATCTTTTATTGAAAAAAAAACTTTTCCATTTTGCCGACGCGCACGGACAGCGACACGTGCGCATACCAGAAACCGGAGACTTTTTTGTTTGGCCTAATCTAGTAATCGTCGAATTTGAACAGCGCCCCCTATTGAAATATGGTACTCCCCCCCCCCCCAAAGTTTTTGATTTTACGGAGGCATTTTCAGATTTTTTTTGCTGATGAAACCCCCCCCCCCCCCTGCGAAAATTCCTGGATCCGCCCCTGTTGGCATCTCGGTAAAGTCAGTCTGTCATTGACCGTAATACGCATGCGTGAAACATATCACGTGAACTAATGAATATGTCACCTGATTCGGAATATTGAGACATGTTAGTATTAGGCCAAAAAAAAAATAAGTCGGTCTCTGGTCAGCGCGCGCGTCGAATTTAAGCATGCGCGTCGATCTTTTTTTTCTCAAAATGTTCCGCGGTAGCTCCAACAGCGCCCTCTATTTCCGCACTTCCTCATTTTTTTTTTTTTTTTACCAAAGAGCACAAAGGCATGGGAAATTGCACCAAGGCAAATGATCAAAAGCACCAAGGCAAATTATGGAGGACACCAATGTACATGAGGACACCAAAAAAGCAAAATAGTACCCCACCTTGTCTGTACAATCCAAGCTTTAAGAGTAAAAAAAAGCAAAAAAAAAAAAAAAAAGCCGCGTGGCCGCGTCAATTTTGGAACTTAGGTCTGACCAGAGACCGTAATTTTTTTTTTTGGCCTTATATTCTATTTTTTTATGTTGGTTGCCTATAAGCACGCTGCGCGCTAAAGCGGCGGCCTGAATGCGGTAGGTTCGGGTTCAATTCGTGGAGGAATTTGACATTTTCATTTTTTCTGCAAAACATAATTTTCTTCCCTAAATTGGGTTTAATCAAGTCCCGATGATTAATAAAATATATTGCCCCTTCTTCTTCTCATTCATGGTTCTGGAGGTTTAAAAAAAGAACTTCAGTCCAAGACAAGGGCGGATACAGGGGGGGGGGGGGGGGGGGGCAAAGGGGGCCATGCCCCCCCCCCAAAAAAAAAAACATAACCAATTGTTTTTTTATGTGACGTCGAAATAAAGGCAGGCATGAGTACACCACCATCTTTTCCTCAAAAAACATTGGCTAAAGTGGTCAGAAATTGCCTCAGATCGCACCACAGAGCATCGAGAATCCAAAAAAGTTTCGGGGCCCTTAAGCGGGCCCCGAGCCCCACGCCGTAATTTTTTGTCCCACTTTTTGGGAGACACAATTTTTTTTGGCCCCCCCCCAAAAAAAATTGTGTTCTGGATCCGCCCTTGGTTCAAGAACCCTTCCGTTATCAACAGATGCATGCGCATTATGGTTATTATTCCCCGAGTAGTACGACATGTTCCTCGGAAACACATAGGTGCTCACATGATAATGACGAGAAAAATGTACCCAAAGAAAATAATAACTCGTCTTTCAGATATTTATTCACAATTTCATTGCCGTGTCTTTCTTAACATGAAAATGAAACAAAAGCAGTTAAATGCGGTTATATGCCTTTTTAATTAAAATTTTATGACCTGAATAGGCCTAATATTTCACCTTTTGTGGCGCACTCGAAAGCGCGATATATTCTATTGGAGTCAACAAGGGCGGATGGGGGGGGGGGGCATTGGGGGCTATGCCCCCTCCAAACCCCCCCCCCCCCCCCAAACCGTCATTTTTGGTTCTAAGTGGCGTCGCAATAATAATAATAGAGGCAGGCACTGCGTACACCACCATCTTTTCCTCCAAAAGAAATATTGGTTCAAGTGGTCAGAAATAGCCTCAGATGGCACCACAGAGCATCTAGAATCTAATAAAAATTCCGGGGCCTTTAAGTGGGCCCCGAACCCCACGCCCTAATTTTTGGGACCCACTTTTTTGTGTTCTGGATCCGCTCTTGGGAATCAAGCGCATATACATTGATTGCTGTTCTGAAAATCGAATAGTTTTTGTTTTCTTAATGAAGGAGCTCGCCTTACAATAACTGGAAAGTGCGATATTACAGGAAATTTCACAGGACAGGGAAACATTGACACTAAATGGTAGATGTGGAACTACAGTACTGCACTGACACTTTCTGTACAAAATAAGTGCATTCGCTTTGCTTGATTTGCTTAAATTTAAAGTTACTTGCAATTTTAATATAGGTTTCCCCGGCTATTTCCAAAAGTTTATCATTCGAATTCACCGTTTCTGATAGTCCAATTCGGCCACTAACATCGATTTAGTGCACTTCCAATGTAAAATTTTTCGTCTTTTGTTAGGCAATTTCAAATTCAGTTCAAGTAAATTCACACAATGAGCACACGTTTTCGTCCCGGTGTATTCAACTTCGGCTCGTCTTCGCTAAACCTTGTTATTCAGAAATCAAATTCGTCTATAATTGATTGATATAATAAGACGAATTCGATCTTTGAATGCTGCCATTCGGCAACAGCTTAGACATATTTTATCTGTCATGACGAATATTCTCGACCCGGTGACTAAAGAGGGTGACCAAACTTTGAAATTGAATGGTATATGACTAAATGGTTTTGGTAAAAGTGTGTGACCTTTTTCGTGGACGAAATTGAATGTTATATAGAGTTGGTGAATTTTAATCTTTTAAAATAGCTAGGACAACCTACAATGTAATACTCCACAATGTTAAAAACCTTTATATACCCACATCGTTTTGTTGATGCAGAATTATTTTCACAAATTCTAACACTAGTTAAATTGCTATGTTATAGAAACCATATATACATACCTTGTTATTTTAAAGGCATATTTTTTAGGATCATTTGCTTTTCATGCATTTTGTTCGTTTCCAATAATAACACCAAACAAAATCCCCCAAAAACATGTTCAGAACCTATCAGCGACACCAAAGTGCACGAGAGTCGGTACTCGCTGGTGGTATGCTCCGGCGTCCCATTCCACGAAAGCCGCCTCCTGTCCTCCTTTACCGATCCTGACCACGCCCCCTTTGTAGTCGATCCAGAAAGGGCGGTACTCACTGGCGTTGACCAACCCTTGTTCCTCATGTGTAGCCACTATATTCAGACAGATCCAGTAGCATGGTCTCACGTTCGCCAAGGTATTCACTCTCCCACCGATGTCTAGAGATGAAAAATAGTAAAACCTGACCCATTCAATTTTAGGTTATTTCAGCACTCGATCGGCAAAACGCCGAAAGGGCCCGTGTCTTGTAATTGTTTTAAATGCTATCCTTGAAAATGCACATTTGTGTCCTATTTAACCTTATACTATATAAATAATGAAAGGTTTGCGGAAACACCATGTGCGAATAATTTCTCAACTAAGAGAATGGTTCTGAAAAGAACCAGAGGTATAAACTCGACGTTCCGGTCAGTATGCTCTGACCGTCTTCAAGAGAGTGCCTAAACTCTAAGAAAGTGAATACTTAAGTAGCAAAAGGCAAAATCAATGAATTGTGAAATTGCATCCTGTGAGGATGCCAAGTAGACAGGATCCTAGAGTAAGCTTGGTGCCCACTGAAGTGGAACAGTAGGGTTGCAGTGTCAGTAGAGGGAGGACCTAGGGTATAGGAGACCCATCAGTCTAAGGTACATGTAGTAGCTGAGGACCTAGGGTACAGGAGACCCATCAGTCTCTCCTGAAGACGGTCAGAGCATACTGACCGGAACGTCGAGTTTATACCTCTGGTTCTTTTCAGAACCATTCTCTTAGTTGAGAAATTATTCGCACATGGTGTTTCCGCAAACCTTTCATTATTTAGTATCTTCACCAAAGCCTCAAATCTTACCTATATTAAATGTTTTTTTTTTATTGTGCCAGTTTGAAGGGTAATTAGGTGCCTTTCTGGTTTTTTTTATAATGCGAATTGCTGCATTCATGAGCAAAACCGTGATTTTATTACGGGCATGAACCTTATGAAGCTTATGAATCGGACTTTCATATTATCCTCGATTTTGAAAGTGCTACATGCAGAACTTCCCTAAAACAATGGTCCCAACATGGGGTTTGGGGTTTTTTTTACACACCCTGTAGACACTTGTTTGTGGCGTCCTTATACAAGTCGTTACAGAACTGTCATTAAAGCACGGCTTTTTTAGGAAATAATAATACACAGGCATATACTCACTTATTTCGGCAAAGACGGACTCGTCAGTATTATGCTCAGCCAGGGCTATGCTAGCACCCTGCTTGATCTTCACATCGAAGTCCAACCGGAAAGGCATGCTGAAGGGTTCCAGCAGGAATTTGAAGGTGCGTGGTAACTTGGCTTCAGTGAATACCGAACAAACTGGGAGCGAAAAAAAGACATTTGTTTGGAACTTTCGACTCAAAATTTTTGTTTCTATTGACACATGTAAACATGGTTCGGTATAACCTTCACTGACGTGTGGAAGTCTGCATTTTTGTCGTTGGTGCGAACATACTGAGCTCACTTTGCTGAAACATAATTCTGCGAAGAGCAAGCTGCTTATATAGCAGAAAGGCTAACGCAGATGATAATTTCGTACAATTTGATGTCTAAAAATTCCGGCGGACAAAGCTATCATTTTCACGTTTGCCTAACACTAAGGCCAAAAAAAAGTCTCCGGTTTCTGGTATGGAGCTTGCCCCAAAAGTGGTGCGGCGACGCGGCTTTTTTTTTTTTTTACCTGATTTTTTTTGCTTCAAATGTCGGCTGATGACTGCAAATGGTGCCCAACTAAACTTAGTACAAATAGGCCGATATGGCATTGGGAGTCGAGAGAGGCCACATAAAGCTTATTCTCGACCATAACCCCACCTAAAAACACGTTAAAATTGTGCACTAGCAGAATTCCAGTCAAACCAGTGAATTTGGCGGTTTTGAGACATCATCTTTCATTGAAAAAAAAAAAACTTTTTCATTTTGCCGACGCGCATGGCTACGGCGACGCGCGCGCATACCAGAAACCGGAGACTTTTTTTTTTTTTGGCCTAACACAAGATTTCTTAACATTCATCACCAGAGACAAGGTGTGTGGATGAGAACTGGCGTAAGTTAGAACTGATTAACAAATATTTTTCCATCCAAATCATGTGGGGGCTGTAACATTGCTTGCTTTGCTTAAAATAACGGCCATATAACTAACACTACTAAAAGGCTGTGAATTGTAACAAGCAAATAGCCGCGGCTGAAATTGTACAATTAGTATGTCAACGAAAAGACACTCTAAAGATAGTCATTTTGTATTGTTTGCCTTTTTAATTCAGTAACATAGAGTGCACAACAGCACTGAAAAAAGTGCCTGGGTTAATTTTACCCAAGTAAGGGTAAAAACTGCAACTAGGCCTACCCAAAATTGGGTTGTGCAATACCCATTTTTTTTGGGGGGGGGTAGAATTTCTGTTAAATTCAATCAAAACTTTTGGTTATACAAGACCAAATTTAATTGAGTTTACAGTGTCAATCTCCAGATCCTGACATAAATTAAAAGTGACTCAATTAGTCTAAGCGATTCCAATGTTTATCCTAAATACCTACCTAGTACAATATCGTCACCGATACCACGAAGTAACACTCTACAGTGTTAAAGCATATTTTTTTCGATTTTCAGTTTTTTTGATTTTTAAACATTATTCATCAAGGCCTACCATTGCACGAAGTTTCAAAGCTTCAAGAGCTTTACTTTAATAATTACGCTAAGTATCCATGGCAACTTTTGCGCAAAAGTGACAATTTTCGTTTTCACGAAGTAACACTCAAGTTCCATTTTCCATTGCAATGCATGGCGCGCACTCTGCTCGTAAGTGAGCAAAAACGTTTTCACGAAGTAACACTCTTCTAGTAACAAGTTGTATGAGCGCGCGCGCGCTGACCCGAAGTTGAACTTTCCTCGTGTTAAATACATTGAAGAGTGTTACTTTTAACTTTAAACGAAAATTTACAGTTTCGCAGCTTTTTTGGTTTCACGAACTAACACTCATCTTTTTTCTCTTATTTCTTGTTTATTTAATACACAAACGAGTGAAAAACAGCAGATTTAATTAATTCAATTCATCAAGTGTCCACAACGAGAAACCCAACTGAACATACTCTGTCGTTTTGACGCAAAGTGTTGTTTTAGAAGGCGTTCAACTTTAGTTGCCGTTTTCTCCGATTGCTAGTTTTTACTGGTATATAGATGGGTGTTACTTCGTGGTGTCGGTGACGATATGTTTTTGGTTGGCATTCCCTGCTCTGACATGCTCATATTTAAGATACGTTTTCCGCAAACTTTAATTTAAAATTGTCTGTTGCACACTAACATTGCAGATTCTCCCAAATGAGTCTAAAATAGCATGCCAAATGTTCATGTTATTTCCCCCCCCCCCCCGCACATACACACTAGTCATGTGCAGTCTAAGCTGCCACTGCATCAAGGTCAATTCGCTCGTACAGACCAGTAAATAAACTTCCATAGACCCCAATGGTAAATGCTCCCACTTCAAAAATTCGGGAAAAATACTCACAACTCTCCAAGGCGTTCGAGACGCACATCAAATTAAAGCTTATTTCATCATCTTTCATTTTCTTTTCAATTTTTTGGGGGTCAACTGATGACTTTTAGGAGAAATTTCCATCTGAAGATGACCACCCCTGAAAATAGTCCTGAAGCCCATCGCCATTTTGAAAAACGATGCCTACACTCCATTGCAAAATAGAGCGCTTTTAGTGTCCAAATTACATCAAAATTACACAGAACTGCAAGCTCCCAGTCAAGTGCACGGCTTCCACCCATATTTCTTACAAACCCTCAAGTTCATGGCCCACAGCATGCCCAAATACCGAAGATGCAAATCGTGATTTGGCCGGCGCAGGCAATTTCGGACCGATTTACTGGTCTGCACCCAGCTGCATGCGAGCGAATAAGGACAACTGTGGACGAGGTGCTTTTTTTCTGCAAAATTACCGGGTTGCCCAGGCAGATTTCATCCCTTAGAGGAATAATTTCAAAACAATTACCGTAAGTATACGAATGATGAACACTCAACCTTCGATTATTTCCACACTTCTGTTCCATTAATTTGTGCAAATGTGGGATTTTGGGTCAACACTAAACGCGCATTTTCAAGTCATTTCAATTATTTTGTTATGTCATCTTCCATACAAAAATTAATACTACGTGGCGGAGTGACATTAACCTGCGCGGGGATATTGCAAAATTGTAACAAAAACGAAAGCATTTTCATGTGACAAATGGCAACCAGTGACAATTTGCATGTGGGTTATTCATGTTAGTTGAATCATGTAAATTACTAGGTTTGCTCTTCACATGAAATAGTTGTCTAAGCACTGTAGGCCTTTATGTCAACTTAGTACTGTCCGAGAGTCTTGAGAATTATATTGTTTTTAATGCCGATGTGTATTTTGCATCATGCTACAGGTAACCTTCCAACCATTCAAATTCCACCCGAAATGGCAATACCATTCTGGGATCCTGTTCCACAAGATGCACGTATGTATAGTAAACATCACCTCTATTTTTCTAGTCATTAGAATCGCTTTCACGGCACAAAATGTGTCCACTGCATGCACAACTGATTGGGAAAAAACATAGACCTAATCCTATCTAGGCTACTGTAGGCACGTCAGAAATTTCCAAGGAGTCCACACTATAAAAGTTTCTAAAAACTTCCGACATCGACTTAGTGTATTAAAACTTTTCAGCATCCAAAAGGGATGCCTTGGTTGAGAGAGAATCGTCCTGCGTCGAAACTGGGTATCATCTCAGGACTGTAGTCCAGACCAAAACAAGACAAATCACAAATGAAATCGGAAGGTATACCACAAGGTTTGAAGTAACATGATATAAACATAAATAAATGTTGCCTGAGAGGCTGGTCTACACAGAGTGAGAGTATAAGCGTTATTTACCTCCTCAGCTGCCTTTCTTTCTTTCATCTCACCTTTCGTCTTAACTGTTCTTCACCGCCTCCTCCCTTCCTCCCGTCCCCCCCCCCCCTTACACCTTGTCAGATTAGTTTTAAAAGTTATCATTAGCTTAGGGATAGAGGCGCCTTCCCGCTGGAAAGCGGGCTGAAACATCATCGATGTCACCAGGGGTACATATACACAGATCCCCTGGTGACAGGAAAGGTGTATCCCCATACTGGGTTTTGGTTCTGGCTTGGCGATTCTGACTTTTACTTCAATCCTTCCTTCGCCAAACCTGGCTATTTCCTCTCCACTACCCCAACTCAGGGTTACGAGTTCCGTAACTATACGGTAAAATAGTATAAGAGGTATAAAACCCCTGATGAATGAAATGTCAAATAAAGGAAGAAGAGCTGTTCAAGGAATATCCAACGCCATAAACAACCTCATGTGTCTCCAGGACAGGTTCGACTAGAGACTATAGGGTGAGGAAACCCCTACAGAAAACACCAACTAACACCCCGCCTTGACAGCGCGTCAGTATATGACAGTAAACACTCAAGCACATATACATGTATAAGAAGTTACAAAGAGAGGTCGTAGACCCCATGGCCATATGGGCGCAAGTACATGTTTAGTTGAAATGGGACCAGTGACCACTCAGAAGAAAAATCGAGAAAGAGAGTAGGAAAACTGGTCAACTAACCAACATTCACATAGGCCTATGCTTACATATAATATACGGACATTGAAGTCAGACGATGCACTTGACACTAACTGGAAGAATTTGAAGGCTTCAAGTGGGATATAATTGGATTGTCTGAGACAAAGAGAGAAGGTGAAGGATTGTTAGAACTAAAAAGATCCTCTTGTCTCTTCAATCGAGAAAAAATGAGAAGACGATCAAGATTTGAGGAGTGGGATTTCTCATACACTCAAAACTCAAAGAGTGTGTTAAAGAAGTCAAAAGCTACTCTAACAGAGCAGTAACCCTGAACATCCAACTTACAGACAGAGAACAGATGTGCATAATATATGCACCTACAAGTGACTAGCTACGAGAACCCAGCTATAGAAGAGTTCTATGAAGACATTGAAAGAGCCATCAAAGAAAACAGGAAAATATACAATACTGATGGGAGATTTTATTGCAAAACTAGGAAAGTAAAAGGCAGGTGAAGAATCAATCTTGGAAAAGTTTGATATAGGACAAAGAAACAAAAGAGGTAGGAGACTAATCTGCGATGGAACATAAACCTATAGTGGCCAACAACTTCTCCAAAAAAGACAAAAAGAGATAATGGATGTTGAAAAGTCCAAATGGAATCACCAAAAACCAAATAGATTTCATTCTGACTAGCCAGAAAGGAATTGTAAACAACTGTGAAACGATATTAGTAGATATTGCAAGT